GTATATATATATAAATATATATATACATATAAGGAGATAAACCTATATTTGTTCACATATATATAAATATATATTCCATTATATATATATATATATATATAGAACAAATATAAATATATAAAATTTGGTCTCTTTTGCAAAAGATATAAAATAATTTTTACCAATAAATATATGTTCTTATATATATTGTATATGATATCTGTATATATAATATATTTGCCATAAAATATATAGAGCCAATATAATATAATATAATATATAGGCAAATATATATAGGTTCAGTCCTGGCATATGCCAAATATTTTTTGTGGGTTTCTATATAATATTTTCTGCAGCCATTAAACTGTTAGTGTATATATATTTTACCTTCTTTGAAAATGCAATGGAGGCGAATAAATTTTTTTGCTTATAATGTTATGCATAATTAAAATATACAATGGAAACTGAAACCAATTCCACTTCATCATTTTAGATGTTTTGGTATCATTACATCATATCAATTCACCAGATATATTCATGGATGTATTTTGTCCCAACAAGTGGAAAAATCCTTTAATTGGTACCCTAACATTAGAGCACAATGATTTGCTCAAAAATCAAAATTATGAAGAGATAAAAATCAAAACTTTATCTAATAATTGGTATCCATTAGATGGGATTAGGTCACTCATTAGTAAGAAAATATGTAATTTTTCTGAACTTAAACCGAATACAGACTAAATGCTCTACTTATTTTTGTTTTCCCCTTGGTTGGGGACAGTAAAAAAATTTGCCAAACAAATTAGAGAAAATTATGTACATATTGTGCAAAAAAGAATGTTGTCCCACCCCACTATATTAAGTTTACTTTAATGTAGTTGCAGTCCAGGTAAACTCAATGATACTAGAATACATTGAAAATTAGGAATCTTTTGGTTTGCTATTATGGAACACTTCCAAAAATTCCATCAATTTCAGCATCGACTTTTTCACCATTTGAGTCACGCTTTTTTACATTTGAAGGCATTACCTAACAATCCAGACAGCCCTAAAATGAAATCCACTGTTATATGTCTTTTTATATTCTATATTGTGAAAATTCCAGCTAAAAACCAGTTGGCTGTTTATTTTGGGTTTTTATCATTAAGGGTAAAATTGGTTTTATTTTTTTTTATTTCCTGACACAGATGCAATGGATAAATTTTCATTTTTTTTATTTTTTAATTTTGTGCATTTGCGTGGTTTGTTTTTTGGGGCACTGTTCATGAGAAAACCCACCATGATGCAATTCACTCCACCAGAAATTTGAAAATGGCATGTTGTAAAGTAGAATGATTTGTTTGTCGGCCATATTTTGTCAATAAAATAAAAGATGAGGACAATAGTCCCACTAATGTAAATACTGTACAGAAATATAGACACAGGTCATTCACATTGGAAAATCCAGAACATTTCTCAATCTGAAAAAGATGCGAAAGAGTGAATGAGTTCAGGTGATTATGATGGTCCGCAAAAAACTGAGAACTCCATTTGTTGGTAAATACCTAGATTCAACACAGAGGCCTAACCAAGTCGCTTGAGGAGTTTAAGAGGGTGGCAGTTGGAGCAGCCTATACTGGTAACAAACATCCATATAAACAGGGAAAAAACCAGTCATGGCTCCCCCATCACTTTACATCTGTCTACTTTTACTGCAACCCCTTTGATTATTATCAGTCAAGGAGAGACCAACAAAACTCCTTGTAAGACCAAAGATGAAAGATTATGGTAACATTTACCAACTTAAACAAGGAGACCATCCAGAAGATTTGCAGGAAAAATGGCAAATTGAAAATTTACTCAAAAGATATATTTGTGTAATTTTGATAAAATCATCATTATTTATAGAAAAGTTGTTTGGGAAACCATTTTCACATATCCTGGATTGCATCAGAATATCCTGAAAAAGTCAGAATCAAAGACTGCTATTTGATGTTAATTATGTATCTCAGGCATTTTTGGTGAAATGACTCAAGCCATTTTATTTGCCACCAGTATGTTGTCCATATTTCAGAAGATTTCAACAGGGATGTTAAGATTCAGGTTGTATATAAACTGTATATAAACTTACTTTAGTCTTGATGGTGATGCCAACTCTGTGACCAAACTCTACTTTCCAATTTACCAAATGCAACACTTCCCTTCTGAATGCATGAAGAAATCAACATCCTAATCCAGCATTTAATTTTCCTAGTATTGTTGGCTTTTGTATAGATGGAGAAGTGAACCTGGTTAACCATTCAAAAGTGTCACAAGTGGTAGAGAAGCAATTCATTATGAAGTGCAAATCTTTCCTCCCGAAAAGCTTGTCTGCAATTAGAGGCCAGTAAATCTTAAATTCCATCAATCCAGTCCTGAGGCACAGGAATGCCTTTCCAGACTAGAGAATTTAAAGAAACAAAACATTCCCCAGAAAATGAAAATGGAATAAATCCTGTCCAGGTGTCTGCCAATTTTTATTTTTGAAGAGTGAAAGATTCAAAAAGAAAATTATCTATAATCATCAACAGCAGATGGATTAAAGAACAGGCTGCTAAAATGTTCAGTCCATCGTCTTATGTCTTCAGGAACCTTATTAGTCATTTTGGCATCAAGAAATTTCAGCAGAACAACAGATGTGTTAAGACCAAAATCTTGATGCAAAAGACAATACAAAGTCTTTGAGTCATGTCAATCAGAAGCATTATTGAACTTCTTTTGAGATGTTACACCACCAATTATTTTTCATTTTCCTGCGTTTATGCTGAAGGATTTCGTTTTCTGATGAACTACTTAACTCTGAAAGATGAAGAATATTTGACTTTGAGTAAAAGCCCTTAATATTTATCATCAAACCAGTCTTTATCATGTTTCTTGACAAAACCCAACAGTTCAGCTCCAACTTGATAAAATTGGGGTTTAAAAACTTCCCATGCACCATCAAAAGTAAAATTGTTCATCCTGTCAGCTAAAGCTGTCCAAGCCTCTGTGTCAGTGTGAACACAAAGATGTTTGGGAAAAATACCCAGCTTGTATTTCCCCTGAACCAGTTTCTGAACTATGTTGCATTCATCACACTACATTGCTGAAATCTATTTGTTATGATAAGATCTATTTAAATGCAGAGTACCAGTAACCTTATGCTTCTCTTTTGCATGAAAGAAGGTGTCTCTGATTACAAGATCAAACTGAGATCAGAATTCAAGTAAATATAATCCATTGCTGTTCACCTTTCCAATGCTATGGTGGTTGAGAGCGTCTAATCTTGTTTCCCCTAGTCTTTCATTAATGTGTACAAGGATTATCAGTTTCTCTTCTTTTGGGATTGATTTTTACAGCATTTCCAAGGGCAGCATAAAAAGACAATGTTTTAACTGTTCTGATAAACTACTTCCACTGGCATGTATGAAACAAAATCTTGGTCCCAACTATCAAAACAGTTAAATGTAGCCATCTCTACTCTGACAGCTCATCTCACACTTCCCAACAGTGGAAAATCGACTTATTTGCTTCCGTGATAGCTATAATATTCAAAATGTAATGTCAATCAAATTTTCTGAATCCCCATCCTTCACTTTATCCTTCCCTTAAACACTTCCCCTCTTTACTTTGTTCTCCTTTCTGTAATTTCATGCTAAAAGGGTGATATGCTTAAAAAGAAAAGAAAGACAAGGAATAAATTGATTGAATTCAGTCGCTTATTTATGAATACATTTCATTATTCAAATTTGATTGGCTACTTTGTCCACCACAGATGTTCTTATGGCAAACACAATACCACCATGTTTACATTTTGATTTGACAGATCAGAATACAGTGTATCCTGATGTCATTACAGTGAAAGACAAGTTTGACAGAGCAGCTCAAAAACTGTAAATTGGTAACAAGAGAACTGTTCTATGTTCAGGGCTGGTTGTGTTTTCACAATCCAAAAGAGTTCTTACAGTCCAGAAATCAATGTTGAATTGAGGATCTTTTGTTTCAGAAATGTTCTCGTTTTGTACCTACACTAAAATGAAATCCACTGTTATCTGTAGAAAACTAACCATTGTAGGTTGGACAGGCAAAATGTTTGATGCACCTTTTACTGGCACCTTCTCAAGAATCTGAAATGATTTAAATAAGGGCAGCTCAGACACAGGTAACTCCAGCAAAATCAGTCTCTGTCCACAAAGATGCGAACAGTGTTAAGATAAAAAATCCAGTTACCTATACGCCCCAACCATTTAAGTGCAAACATCACTACTCCCCCATCACTATGGTACTTTTAAGTAAAATCAGATCTCTAGGGCACAAAAAACAACATCATTGAGAAACCAGGATGACAGAATATCCTGAAAATCAGATAAAATGCTGAGGTATATGCATGTCATCAGATTTATAGTTGATAAATGCCATCTTGTATGATATTGTGAATAGAGTTTGTAAAATTCACAGAATATGATAATATCTCATTATAGATGACATTATGTATCCTAAATTGACATTTTTTTTTCTCACCCAAGAAAGGTGAGATAAAGTTCAGAGAACAATAAAAGAACAGAATTTAAAGAGACAGAATATGACAACTGATGTCTGCATTTCTGTTTTTGAAAAATGGGGTTGACAGGAAAGCAAGAAGTCAGAATAGAGTTCCATGCAGGAGAAGAAACTGTTAGCATAGAAATCATTTGAAAAGAATGCATGCAAATTCATTTGTCAGAGTTTTTTAAAGAGGAATGCAAACAAAATGTTGCACAGTTATGTCTATCTGGACAAAATCAGAGAAAAGTGCATTATTACACAAATTGAATTCCTAATGAAATAAAAAAGCAGAGAACTGATGTTCAGTCAGTTATCATTTACTATGAAGATTAAACAGAAACATTTCCATGAAGATTGAATCAAAAATGTAAACAAAACATGTTTGTGTTGTTTCTGTTTTTTTTTATTCAAAAAAAAAATAATAATCAAATGTTCATACATGAAAATTTTGCTTTGGAAAAATTCATTCAAGATGAGAGTCATACTTGAAAGGTTTTGTTTCGATTGGGTCCTCTGAAAATGAAAAAACATTTCTGGTGTCAATAATTAAACACAATGTTTATGACAATAAATAAATAAAATGAAAACTTACAGAATCTTAAAATGTCTTTTTCAAGAGTCAAAATGTTTAATTTAGCCAACATTATTTTCAAAAAAAAGACTGTTGTTATTCTAACTTCAAAAAAATTTATGTACAAAGCAAATGAAAATATTCAAAAGTCAACAAATGTAAAAAGAAAATTAAATTAAATTTATCTCTGTTAAAAGATTTTTTTGCTTTCTGATTCTAAAGAAATTAAATTTGGTTAAATAAAGAGTTATCTGCTCTTGGCCATTGCACAACAAATGATTTATGTTTAATCTGGCACAAGGTCACAAGTGTGTACCAAACTCATTGGTGAGGCTAGTTTAATAGGTTCATGAATGAATAATGAATTTCAAAACAGTGTTAAAAAAAAAAAAAAAGAAAGACATTTTAAGATCTTTTCTAGAAAATCTCTCTTGCTGAAGTTAAAGACGTTTTTGCTTTGTTTTTTAATTTTAATGTTTCATTTGAATTTATTCATTTTAAGTCAAAGTAAAACAAAGAATTTTTTTATTGAAATAAGATGGCTGAATATTAAAAGCTAATGGAAAAACTAAGTCATATAAAATAAACGTTGGGGGGGGGGGGGGGGAGAAAAAAAGAATCTTGCAGAAATTCTGAGGTTTCTACCTGGCTAGACGAGGATAAATCTTTTCCCTGGAGATTTCAAGCGGACCTTCCCGGGCCATGTTTTTTGATTCAGTTTCTAAATAGACATCAAAACACATGCAGATACGCTGCAGTTGATTGGATAATATTTGGTCACGTGACTCAGGGTGAACAAGTTCTTCATAATGGACATTCACTTCACTCTCCATTTCCTGCAAGACAGACAGACACACAAAGCAGCTGAAGAGAACGGAGGAAATATTGGTCGAAACATTCATTTTTAAAGTCAAAGAGATTTTCCTTTATTTATTTTTTTTTCTAGTTCTCTGTTAAATTCAAATATAGGAATAAAATAATTCATCAAGGATTCCATTTGCAGGAAAAGTTCAAGAATAATTGAGAAATGTTCTTGTTTTTTTTCAACTCTGCATTTTTAAAAATATAACATTTTTTTCTGTCAACAAATTTCATCTCTCAAAATAAGAATAATATATAGAAATCTCAAATATTTCCATGTAAAAACAAACAAAAAAAACAAAAACATATATAGCATAGTCTTCTGTAGATAGAAAAAAAAAAAAAAAAGACTTGAAGCGTTTTTTTTTAAATTCATTCACCACACAAGTCTATTACACGAGCTGACAAAAGAAAAGAAGAAAAAAGAAGTGACATCTATAGGAGTAATATGGAGTGCAGCTAAATGCTGTGAATCAGAAATGTTCTTTTACCTGTACATGACAGTCATTGAGGGCCGTTCTGATAGTCTGCCAATGTACACAGAGGGAAAAGACAGGGGCAACCACAGGGTAATTCGGGGCCACAATGACATGGCAAATCAGTCGAGCTGAGCTCCTTTCAAAAACTGCACAGAAATAGAGATCCGATTGTTGAGCCAAACCTTCTTGAATCAAATTGCTGGTATAGGGCAGGTTCTGGAAACAAAGACATCGGTTGACATTATTAACAGCAGATGATGTGTGTCAATTTATGAGAATGTAGAAAAGGAAAAAAAACAAAAGTTTTGAAAATTACTTGTACTTAAGATTTCAATATGGATGACTGATGCAAATTACTAACCAGATATTAGGGATGATATAATGATTGCTGTAAGCAAAATTATTCTTAAATAGTAACCCTTTAAACACTTAGTAACATGTTGGTGTTATTCTGTTCATGATTCTTTTTAGTTGATTACCAACCACACGTTGTAGTTCCCAACACTTACAAAATCTGAGCCTAGAATTAGGAATGCGAATCCTCAAAGGGGAAAGAAACGTCAGAGTCTATAATGACAAAGGAATGTTGAACAATCATTTAGAAGATGTACAACATTACAAATAGGAACTGGACTGACACTGTATAGTTTTATGGTTTTGAAAATAAGGCAAGAGTTTGACAAAACAGAGTCCAGTATAAGATTAGTGTGGAAATGAATTCTGAAAATATCAACTGTTTAACAAAAAATACAAATATACCAATTGAAATCGACTCGGTTAACTGTAGACCAATTCCAATGCCAAAATCCTACACTGGACTTTGTATAATGTATCTTATTTTAGCCATATTTTGATCTTAATGAACAAAAGATACTAAATTTTGACAATCAGATGATAGGAGACAAGGGGGAAACTGAGCTAGTGAATATAGACAGAAATTGGAATGCCTCAGAAATTTAGGTGGGGGGGGGTCAACTTTTTACAGAAAACCAACTTATATACCAACATATACAGAAGTTTCTATGTGCTGTTGTTGCATGTAAAGATTTTCTAGTGTAGAAATTTATTTTGAAACTGGTTCTCTACTGGAATGAATATTTCAATAAAGTGCTTCCCAATATCACAGAGATCAGCTGAATTTTATTACTTTTATAATACTGAAAAGATTTCCAAGCTGAGTGGGATGTGCTTTGAAGAGTTACCAAATTCAAATGACCAATTCAATCATACAATGACCCCCATTGAATCAAGAAATCTTTTTTTTTTTCTTTTTTTTTTTTTAAAAAAAAAATCCGCCTTAATGTTTCACTTTGAATTCATTTCCAAAATTCTCTTGTTCATGAGAAATTTCATATTTGGAGAAAACAATCAGATAGCAGTTAACCAACTTCCATTATTTTGCAATTTTGAAGTAAAATAAATCTTTATCTTTTTATACAAAAAGGTTGAATCAAAAATCCTCCAGCAACCCACTTGGGAAAAGAAAAAGGAAAGGAAACTTACAGCAAAATCCTCAAATGTTGAGCGTCTCCAAGAAGAGAGTTGGGTGATAATCTTAACGGGAAATAAGTTCATATATTCTCCACAGACCGGGATGGAAGACCTTTCTGGAAGCAGAAAAGAGAAAAGTTAAAGAATTTCAAATGCAAAACAAATCTACACTATTATACCCACTCAGTTTTTGGTCTGAGAAATTCTTTCACTGCCATGGTAAGAGGGAGAAATCAGTTGGGTGCATTGAAGGAACTATTTATCTATTTACATTGTTTAGACTGTTCTCCTCATCTTTATTGCCATATTCACATCTCGGCCGTTGTATGTGCAGGTGATATATATTGGAATTTCAAACCAAACCCTTTATTTCATCCATGGGGATAAATTGTCTAATTCCATGTACCATGCTTTTTCATAGTTTGTTAACCATTGCTCCTCAAGGGCAGTTGGTTGAAGCAATCAAAAGTGGCTTGACCTAAAGAGTTGTGAGTTCAATACCTGGCCACAGCAGAGTTGAACAAAAACTTGGAGAATTGAGTTACTAAAGAGAATTAACTGAAACTAAGATACCCACGAAAAGGCATGGCACACGGAATTAGAACAATTTACCTTCATTGACTAAAAGGTTTTACTTTGAAATTCTAATGTACATCACCTGAATGAAGCTCAGAGCATACCATGGCTAACATGTCACGGATATGACAATAAAGATGAGGACATCAGTCCGAATGATATAAATACTTACAATATCTTTTCTCAGAAATATAGACAGATCAAAGGAGTTTAGATTAATCAGTCACAAGTCACAATGTTTTAGGAATTGTATTTATTTTTTAAAGAAAGTATATAAGAAAAAAATAAAAAATCAAGATTTGTAAGGAAGCAAGCAACAACCATTCTACATCACCTAACCCCCCTCACTGTCGTCACAGACATTTATTTGGTTTCAGCTAGCTCGAACATTCATGAAAGTCTATCACACCAACCATCACAGTCCTGCATCAATGTTGGAAGGTCATTAGAGTGGCATTCTGTGTCATAACACAGCTGGTCAATGTAGGTGGTTACTTTACTGATTGACCAACCCGTCTTGTGCCATAGTTAGGTGTCCAGAACAGTAGATCACCTTGCAAGTTCTTGTTTCATTTGCCAGAAGGGTCATGCATTTTGCGTTTATGTAGAAACAAGGATATTTAGTTGGATATTGTCTCCAGGAGATGCTTACTTACAAATTTTAATGAGAGCATAAATAATTGATTATTAATCAACAAATGTATTTTTTGGTTGAAAATTGTATTCATTTCAAAATTACAAGAGAAATCAAACCTGAAATTTTTCATCAAATATAAATAATTTCTTCTGTATCTTTATTTGCAAAATGACAAAAGCAAACAAAAAGACGTTGATAAATTTTTGTTTCAAAAACTTAAAGCTTGCCCTTCCTGGTGTTATCCTCGGGTGTTTGTCAGAAGGGTTTGTCTGTTTGTTTAGCAACATATCAACTCATTATGGTTCATTTAATGCAGAAATTTAATTTTCTTGGAAGTACTAGTAATATTTTTTTGGGAAAAAAAAAATCCATTGCTGGTAATATATTGCTTGTATTTTTTATAGTTTCAGTGTTTTGACACCAGTTTGAAGATTAACTATTTGCCCATAGATGGGATCCTAACAGGTGCTACCACCCCAGGTCAGAGTGAACCTGGTGACAACATTAATTAAGAGCTGGTCCCACACCTCCTAATCAGGGCCTTTCTATTGAATGTAATTTATCGTCAGAGCTTCCAGGACAGCTTGTGCTTCAGATCAATTTTATAAGCCTTAGAGGTTTTATGTTCAACATTTATTAAAACTTCTAAAAGGAATAATTTTATCTTGATTGTGCAAAAAGGTAAATGAAACCAATTTATAATTGACTGTTCTTCATTTAGATTAATCCTCCCAATTAATCAGGGAAATTATTTTTCCTAAACTGCAAATGCACTTTCTAATTGTCAAGCACCAGATGACACCAACATCTCCCCCCGCCTCTCTCATGTCAAAGAGAGAAAATAATTTCATTTAATTGAAGCGAAAAGAATCTTGCTGAATCGCAGTGTACTTACCCAATGAGACCAATTGTTTGAGTAAAGAGAGTCTGGATTTGATGCGATGTCGCAGCAGTTGAATGGTGTTCTGCATGTGACTAGCACTGAGAGAAATTCCATTTTTGGCATCATCACTGAGAAACTGCAGTCCTGCAAGCCACTGAGCCCACATATATGGGTGACCAATATGGTTCAGATGATGACTGAAATCCCCTAAACTATACACAAATGAAAAAAGAAAAAAAAAAAAAACTTTTTCACAATTTTCTAAATAAGTGAAACTCATTTCGAAAGGTAAGCAAAAAAAAAAAAAAAAAAAGATTCAATCATGTAACCAGTAAAGTAATAAATAACTAAAATGGAGGTCAAAACCAATTGTCTTTTCTCCCAATTTCCAAGATTAGGAGTTATCATTATTTACACTATTTATATTTGGATTATTGTCCTCATCTTTTTTGTTGTTATCACAAAGCTTTGATGATATCATCTAGTTCTTATTTTATACTGTTCAGTTATTACCTGTCCATTTCCACTGAGTACAAGTACATTCTACCTGACCCAGGATTGAACTCACTATGTCACCAAATGCTTTTATCCCATAGGACAATTTGCTGGAGTAAACTTAGAGCTTTAAACTTAACCTAGCTGCTGATTAGGTTGCAACTGTTGCTACTAGCTATCATTTTTTCACTTCTGTTGCCACAGTTGAAAACTTGCTGCCATTTGTCTGTCTTTCTTTAACTAAGAACTAGACAATATCTTTAGACATGGAATGAGAACAGTCTACCTCCAGAGTTCAGTTTGGAATTCCCTATTGGTTACTCAAATCCAATATACACCTGAAGAAGGCCGGAAGGCACAAGAGTTGAAATGTTGTGATAACAACAACAAAGATGAAGACAATAGTCTGAATATAAATAATGTAAATAATTTTATTGGTGCCTTTAAAATTCTGAAAACAGTTGGTGCCTGGAGACTCACCCAAGTTTTTTCAGGACATATTGATTGGCTGGATTAGGAGTGTCACAACCATGATCACCAGGATAAAGATAGGACAAGAATTTGTCAGGTAACAGTAAATCTCTGTAAAAAACAAAAGACGTATCCATTTAGTATTTAGATGACAGCCAAACATAAAATTCGTTATCCTCAATTTTAAAGTTTTGCTTTAAAAATCAACTAGAAAAGTGCAAATAAGTTAAAGCTTAATATGTGCAGCTTTACAAAGACAGTCAAGCGTCATACATGACGTGCTTGAGTGAGATTATGTCTTTTACAATTCATGAATAGGCAGAAAATTTCTTGCAGTAGGCAGCCATTCCTGCTTTATGCAGTAGACTAGTTGCCAATCAAGGCTATAATGCCCAGACTGTTCTGCTATTCAACCATTGCTGGGGGGGGGGGGGGTAGAAGAAATGGATTTAAACTGTTCCCAAGGGTATTTGCACATAACCAGATTGGAATTAGAACACTGCTAGTTTCTCTTTCTGAGCCATTACCAATTACAGTCCCCCTCAGACATAAAGACAGGCACAATTTTAAAGGGAGGTAAAATTTTGTGACAGCCATGTGAACCATGTCAATTACAAGCATTAAAATGTCCTGAAAACAATCCTGTCTGATCATCACTGTCAGGTTTTGGGGGAGGGATGTGTATTTGTAGCTGACCTCCACCAATCTGAACCCAAAGAATGAACAGGAATTTTCAAGGAAATTGTATGCAGTAAATTTACAACATTAGAAAGTCTGAATTGTAAAACACACACATGATCTGTTATCAACAATAATCAGAGATAACGATCATAACAATCTGGTGATCACCAACATGAAATACAAGGTGAACAAGTTTGTTCTTTTGTTGCTTTTATAAACCTGCAAGAGGGAAGACAAATTTGAATTACAGGAAAACTGCATTTCTAAATAGAGACAATGAGAATTAAGTGATGGTTTAGTGAGGCTCACTCACTAAAAACTCACACTGGAGAAAGTGAGGTTAAAAGGTGATAGTAGTAGTAGTAGTAGTAGTAATTACCCTCCACAAATGGAATGTGTGATGGCATGTGGACCTGGTTGTATCTTCACCTCCACTGTGATGATGTTCAACATGAGGACATAGCTGAAGGTCAAAGCAACAGAACTGCCATCTACAAAGAAAAGGACTAATCCTAATTCACTTCATGAAAAGTTCATAAAAAAAAAAAGTCTGGCTAAGAAACCGTCCCAACAAAAAAAAAGTAAATTTGATGTTTGCTCATTTAGTGAGGAGGAGGATCTGGTAGAGGAATAGCCAGGTTCTGCTTTATAAAAATTAATCTAAAAATTGGTCATCAAAGAAAAAGGAAACAACAATATTTTGCATTTTTGGTGTCAGAATTTTATCATCAATAATTTATTTTTATTTTCAACATTTAGAAATCTTTGTAATTAAAATCAAACAAGATTGAAAACAGAATTAGCAACAGACATGTGTACTTGATTAACGGAAACAATTCAACTTAAGGTTTTTAGCAGATTTTCTATTGGAATTTGAAACAATTTCTCCAGTTGCTTTTGACTTCTTTTACAAATCTGGTTCAATTTTAATTTTAAAACAAAAAAATATATATATTGAAATAAAAGTTAATGATGATCAAGAAATCTATTTCACCTCCAGCTTGAGCCACAAATAAATCAAATATACTGAATTAATTCCCTGCATATTTGTAAAACTAAGATTAAAAATTAAAAACAAAACGAATATAAATTATAAAATTATTAAAAAAAAAAAAAAAAAATATGCAAGAGTTCTTTGTATGACGGCTGAGCTCATTTTTGTTATGACAACCAAAAATGTCCTCAATAAATGTCAATGACGTTAATTTATCTAATGCCAGTGTCGATAAAACCTGAAACAAACATTAGTGTGGTTCAAAATAAGGTTTAACTTTCTTTGGTAAAATCAAATCTGTGAATACCCCCACCTGACTTTTTTTATCTTTTTTACCTGTGCAGCCAATTGTAAGGATGACTGTGAGTGGATGTTTCCGTAATGCTTGCTCTTTTCGTTCTGACTTGCGAGATTCTGTGGTTTTCCGTCGATGTTTCTATAAAGAAGAAAAAAAAGGAAACAAATACATCATTAAAAACAAAAGATATCACTGAAATTTGAAATGATGACAAGGGAGATAACTCGTTTTTCTGCTGAATAAATGGCAATAGAATTTAATTTTAGATAAGATTCAATGCCCATTGTGACACATCAAAGAATAGAGGAATGGTTTACTGAGATTTGAATATTATTCCTTACATTTCTTGGATTCTTCATTGCTTTTAACATTTCAGTCAATATATACTTCAGTCTTCGTAAAGTGTAAAGGAAAGAAAAAAAATATCCAAAGATGAAATACAATATTTATCTGAGAATGACCAAAATCAAAAGCAGTATTTTTTTAAAAAAAAAAAAAGAAAAGATTGATTGATTTTTTATGGCTTATCAACCCTTGTCATGAGAGAAAAGTATGCACTTATTACTTCCAGATTTTTGCACACTCACTGAACTGTGTTTGTCTTGATCATCATTATCACTGTTGTCAGAATCCAGATCTATGGAAAAAAATAAAATATTTGAACTGAATAGTTGTTCAAAACCATTTTTTTTTAGATTTCATCTATCCCCTCCCCCACTAGCACCTCCAAAAGCATTCAATGGTCATAGTGCACATAAAAAACTTTTACTAATATGATTATATCTCAGAAACAAGGAAGTAATTACATTTAATTCAGATTTACTAAAATATTTGAAATTATTTAAACAATTTAAGGCATTTAGTCAAGTGCTATTAAAACTAATTTTGCATAAAACTATGAAAAGTTTAAGAGTGTAACATTTTTAATATAATCATAAATTTTATTTAAATCTCTTTTTATCTCTGTCATTTGAGAAAAATGATACTTTAATATATATTAAATAATTTTAGCTAATACATTTCTTTAACACATTTTGGAATAATGCATTCAAAAAAACAAATAAAAAACATATCTTAATTCTACAAGACACTGATAGCAACAAACAAAAGGAGAAATTTTAGCAAAAAACAAAAAGAAAAGATGACTGTAAATTGTTTGTAAATATGGGATCAAGTAATAGAAAGCCTGAGAAATGAAAGTGAAAATTACCATCAAAAGTTGCTTCCATGTCAAGAGAACGGGCAGCTTCCTGGTCCCCCTCTAGAGTGACACTAAGATGTGGATCTGCAATAGAAAAATGACATAAGCAAAGACTGGTTCTACATTTACAGTGGCAAAGTGGTCCTTTATTTTGGCATATAATGTCAAACCCACATTTTGTCATGAAAGCCTATATATATATATATATATATATATATATATATATATATATATATATATAAAATGAAGGAATACCAACCACTTATGTTAGAATTCCTCCATTTTAATATTTAACAGCTCATATATCGAGCACTTTTTATATAACCATTAACTGAGCCAGCCTGGATTTGACCAGATAAACTGTTTTATTGTTTGATATATACAGGGTGGCAATAAAGTCATACAGTTGTTTCCAATAACAATTAAGACAAAGTAATTAATCAGCAGTTCAGAAATTTATTATTAAAATGGTTTTAGTTAATAACAAAATAAAATGCTATAGTAAACAATAGTAAATTAATTACCAATATTGTTTGAACTGCAAGCCACCTGCTTCAATGCTTTGCTTTTTTAGTGTGTGTGTGTGTGTATATTTTACCCATAAATAAACAAATTTTTTTTAAAGAATTCACTCCAAGCAAGGTAATAATGCCACTAAGATGCAAGGAGGTGGCTACTGGGAGTGAAAGAGAATGATTTCATGGAGTCTCTTCTGTTGTATCTTGTTTTAAATTCTTATAAACATCAATCAAATTGCAGAGGATTTAATTTTTTGTTGATATCAAATGTCAAACACACTCCAGCTTGCTAGATATTCCAGATGAGTCAGATTTAATCTTTTCAGAAATTTTGACATTTTTCGGACAAACAACTCGATATTTCTTCAATCCAGTTGAAAATCTCACATAAAATATTTGCCCATCTTTTAAGACACTCCTAATATGTAAAAAGATGCAAGGAAATGTTTCTTGTCCGGAGAGAACAACAAGTGTCAACTCCTGGACATTTTTTCTTCCCCAGGTTTCTACATCAATAAAACATACAAATTCCTGGCTCCAATGTAGCCAAGGATTAAGGATTTTGAATTTAAAAGTGATTTGTTCAAATCCTACCACACCAAACAGTTTTCCTGTATGATGATAAAACCCACAGCTTGTAACACAACTGATGACATCAGCATTATGATTATCCATCCCTCCTCCACTCCCCATCGATGCTAATTTCAGGCATTTTCTTTAATAGTCTGTTATTGCAAAAGTCAAAAACAGAAAACAATCTTACCACAAGCTTCTTGATAAGAACTTGCTTGCATGAATAAAACATACAAGGGTTGAGGAAGATGCCGAGCAGTCTGATGTTTGTGTCGGATGTCATCAAAAGGCATGTTCAGGTATTCTTGGACTGGTTTTGTAGCCTGAAAACAATGAACCAATTAAGAATTAAAATAATTTGCCAACACCTCAATACTTTTTAAGGAACTTTACGATATTTTGCCAAAGATTTTGGTTTTCATATTCTGGCAGTCAACTGGATGTCGATTCAAGACAATTTGAAAATGTGAGTGAAGGCAGTGAAAACAATGGTTATCCTTGAGTGACTGGTAAGATATTTTCCAGAAGTGGGGTGGGGAGGGGTTCTTGCTTCCCAAGAGGATAACACATACATTATGAGGACTTTGGAGTAAAATGAATAATCTTTATCTCTCTCTAAAGTTTAAATAAAAAACAAAATGTGACCAAACTTCAATTTTTTATTTTTTTTAAAATCCTTTTATGGTCAGTCTGAGAACTTTTCAGCATCCCTTTTCTAAAAGAAGTATCCCAAGTGTCAGCATCTGCTGTTCTGTGAGAGGAAACATTAAAAAGAAATATATCTGTAAGGCAACATTTGATAATCTTTTACATATGTTGAGAGAGAGAGAAAAAAAATGACATGTAACAAAGGTGTATAAATGATTGCAAAATAATTGTTTACCTGAAGAATGGAGTTCAATTTGGGCTGCATACTGTCAAGGTATTCTTGACTCTCTGTGATTTCTTTCAATAACTTTTCCTTTTTTTCTTGTGATTTGCCAAGCTCTCCAGAAAGCCTACAAAAATATAGTATTTGAATCAGAAAACAAATTCACTGAATAATCAAATTATAAACTTTAAATGCTTCAGAGTATGCATTGTCATCAGTAAATTAGATATCATTCAAGTGAAAGGTAAAAGAAAATGAGGTTGAAACTTAATCAACCTCTGGCAATTGGAATGAAAGAATATTAGAATTTGGATTTTTGTTCATAGGCCAAGATGTCTTCTAGACATGAGGAATACAATTTTTTTTTTCACTCTTGCAAAAGCCAGTGTTCATTCCGATATCAAAACACTTCATAAAAATGTCAAATATTTGTCTTGAAAAATAAAATTTTTTTTTATGCCAACTTGATGGTTTCATTGTCAATCTAGAAATACAGTGGCTATATAAATAGCTGGTCTGATAAAGAGACAATGCAACCAAGATTTCTGTTGACTTAACATGGCTTACTTAAGAAACCAGAGAGCAATGTCAACTAAGGCATTACAATATAAAATTGGTATATTTTCTCTTATTTAGAAAATGATTTGTCAAGTAAGAGGAAAATTACAATTTCACTTAATTCATTTAAGACAATTGATCATGAAATTTGTCAAATCTGTACAGTAATAAGAAAAATGATTATTAAAAAAAAAAACAAAAAAAACAAAGCACATAATTACTCTTTTCTTTGCTCCAATTCCCAATCTAGTCGGGCCAGAGTTTGCTGATGTGGGTCCTCTAGTGTATCTTGCTTTAAGAGGAAGAGAAAAAAAAATGATTACAGTTGTTGAATATTGTGTAAAAAGAAAACAAAAACATTTAATATTACATTTTTCATTTCACTTTTCAATTTGTCTTTCGTATTATTTGACGAAAACAAGATGGATTCATGCACATGTAATTTTTGCTTTGCCAAAAGTCAAAATGCCAACAATTTCTTGTTGCTACCCAAAATACGTTTGACTTCAGCTTTCTATTACTTGTGAACAGAATTTTTGTCCAACCTTTTGCATTGCAAGAGCTGAACAAAAATTTACATCCAACCAAAAGCAAGTTTATTAAAGGAGCGACTGTAAACATCAATATTCTTTTATAACAAATGATGCTTTAGTCGTTTGCATGCATTTCTCATCTATCAGAACAAATATCTCATCTCAAAAAGAAAATCTTTGTCTTACTACGAATTAAAGAAAAAACATATCTAAACATCTAACTGCAAATAAACAAAGCCAAAAAAAAAAAAATATTAATTATCTTTGAATATCAACCAAAGCCATACAGTTACAAAAAAAAAAAAAGAAAAGAAAAAAGATCACCCAACAAATCCATTTTGCTATTTAAACAAAAATAATTTATAGAATCTCTTGACCAAAATAAAATTAAAGTAGTTGTAAGCAAAAACGAATGTAAAATTGAAACTTAACAAAAGAGAAAAAAGTTTTTAAGCAATTTTATTGTTAAATCTTACACTATTTACATTATTCAGACTATTGTCTTCATCTTTGTCGCCATATTTATTACAACATTTCGGCCATTGTACACTCCGGCCTTCTTCAGGTGGTTGGAATGTTGAACTGAACCCTTTATTTCCCACCTTAACCAGGTATTGAACTCACACTCTTTGGATCCTCAAGGACACATGGCACAGTGGACAAAGGAATTAGTTAGATCCAGTGACAGAACCCAAAGAGTGTGAGTTCAATACCTGGTTAAGGCGGTTGAGAACTTGGAGAGGTGAATTATCAGGAGATAACTGATAATTGCCATCCATTAAACATGGCATGTGGAACTAGAACAGTCTACCCCAGTGAGCGAAATAAAGGGTTCAGTTCGACATTCCAACCACCTGAAGAAGGCCGGAGCATACAATGACCAAAATGTAATAAATATGGCAACAAAGATGAGGACAATAGTCCGAATAATGTAAATAGTGTACATAATACCTCATCTCAGAAATATAGACAGATACTGAAAGGCCGAAACATGGCAATAAATATGGCGAGAAGATGAGGACAATAGTCCGAATAATGTAAATAGTGTCCATAATACCTCATTTCAGAAATATAGACAGATATTGTTAAATCTTGATTTATGACATTTGCCACATGTAACTCTAAATATTAAAAAGCAATGATAAATATAGGATAAGAAAGTAATTGGATGAATATAAAAAATAAAATTTCCTTACTGGCTTGGAAATCTCTTCTGGGGCTGTTTTATAAAATTCCTCGACAGATATCAACTCAACTTCTTCATCTTTGGACCTTTGAGAATAAAGAAAACACAAAATGCATCTGTTAACTTTAATCATATCCAATTCATTTTCAATCCAATTAACCCTTATCTCATAAAATGTCAAATACACTCCTTAATGTTTCCCTTTTTTCTGATCCTTTCACACTCAGTAAACCCCTTATGTCTTAGTGGCTTTACTGCCTTACATGGGGTGAAATAATAAAAGAGAAGAAAAAAAAAAAAAAATGAAAGCAAATTCATTACTGATGCAACCATCATCATTTTTTTTTGTTTACTTTGTTTCCAAGTCATTGAAAAAAGGTCAAACAATGAAAATCATAAACACATAACAAAACAAACCCTTGTATATAAGTCTGAATCAATTGTCTCATTGTTATTGTTTTATTTAAATACCATTCAGCTTTCCCTGGGTGTCTGTTTAAGAACGGATCGTACATGGCCAAAATGTAATAAAAATAACAAACACAAGGAAATTAATCCAAACTAATTAACTGATTAAAACACTTCAGCTAAAAAAAATTGAGTTAGAACAGGCAATTGAAGCCACCTCTACTGAACATTCCCAAATTCATAAAAAATACAACAATCCATGACATTTTTACATGTCATGTTCAAAATGGTCGTTAAAAACTACACAATTCTGAGAGAAACAGAACACTGTAAAAGTTTGGGATAAAAAAAAAATACATTTATTTCAGGTATAAAATATTTTTTTTTCCTTTAGTCACTACTATGCCATAAATAGACAAACAATTCCTTTACTTGAAATTAATGAAAGCAAAAATTACAACTGGGGACCTTCTTACAAAACTGGTCCCCACAAAACATACTGAATGAGGTTTGTTTTATGGGATGTAAATGAAGATTATGAGAATCTGTAGGGTAGATAATGGTTAACCCCTGACTTGAAGAGATTAAGATTGTAGCAGTCAAAGAAGCACTCTCTCAGAATTATGATCCACAAATCAATGGCTCTTGGTAAGAAGCTGTCTAAATAGAACTTCCTTCTTATTAATGGAAAATAAAGAGAATTAGGATGAGAATGATTTGACCCTGTGTATATGGCTTGGCCGGTCTTTAGCTATAAAGGTCTGAATTAATGGAACTAACAAATGTAGATTGCCAAAACATTTTCCATGAAAAAAGCAATAGAGCAGTAAAAGATTTGCGACATTTCATCTTTGGGAAAGGAGTTGTAGAGTGGAAAATAATTAATCACCCACAAGGCCATGTAGACATTTTTTTTAACTCTATCAAGGCAACTACAGTCCAGATATGAAAAACAATAATCAGATTTGACTTGTACAAGTTCCACTTGAGATATGAAGTGAACTCAAACTCCAATAGACATTTTAAGCAAGGAGCTCCACTGAGTGCAAGTGTACATAATGAGAGAGGGGGGAGAGTATTCAAGGCCTGCTTTGTGATGATAAGTTACTAGTATGTCTTTTGAGCATTATTTACATTATTCGGACTATTATCTCCATCTTTGTTGCTATATTTATTACAACGTTTCGGCCGTTGTATGCTCCGGCCTTCTTCAGGTGGTTGGAATGTCAAACTGAACCATTTATTTCACTCACTGGGGTAGACTGTTCTAGTTCCTTGTGCCATGTTTAATGGATGTCAGGACACATGGCACAGTGGATAAAGGTGTTAGTTAGATCCAGTGACAGGACCCAAAGAGTGTGAGTTCAATACCTGGTTAAGGTGGTGGAGAACTTGGAGAGGGGTATTAACAAAAGATAACTGATATCCATTAGACAGCACATGGAACTAGAACAATCTACCCCAGCACGTGAAATAAAGGGTTCAGTTCGACATTCCAACCACCTGAAGAAGGCTGGAGCATACAACGATCAAAACGTTGTAATAAATATGGCGACAAAGATAAGGACAATAGTCTATAATACCTCATCTCGGAAATATAGACAGATAATGGCTTTTGAGGTACTGAAAGTTATAAAGCAGTTTTTCCCCCATGTTGTATTGTGAGGGCTAAATCAGACTTTACTGTGAAGTAAACAGAAAAAAAGGCTTTCTAAGATAGGGAACTCCCAACAAGTTCCAAAGATACACCGAGAGGAATTATTATAAAGAAACCTACTTGAACTCCAGGCACTTGGTAATTTCCTTCTGGAGATGAAAGGCTTCATATAACAAATTTTGGAGCTGTAAGTGATATTGATCAATTTGAAGTTTACCCTGGAGAAAAGAAAAAAAAAATTTAAATTTGATAAGAATATTGGCCTCATGTCTAAAAAAAAAAAAAAGACAAAGCTGTTAATATTTGATCTGAATCAATAATCCATTATATTTGATTGAAACAAACAACAGAAATAGTTTTTATTTCCATCTCTTTCAACATTAAAACAATTTCCTGCATATATATTTTCTATTGACGCAACGTTTCAAAATATTACAAAATCATTTATACACACACCAATCTGGAAAGGTAAAACATATTTTGAGAGACAAAGACAGATTAAGAATTATGAAATTAAACCACAGAAAAACATTGAATTCACAACAAGTTTCTTAATGGCATCACGCATCAGTCAATAGGGTTTGTCCAAAGTAAAGACTTTTGCTAGAAATTTAATATTCAGAGACAATGTGAAACATCCAGTACTCATTAAATGTACAGATTTTATTCTGTTCTTAAAATGCTGGCATGTAATGAATGATGAAAACAGATTCACTGGCTTCATTACAAATAAAACCTTTGAATTTTAAATATTTCTATTCCAGCCAACTCCAAATAACCCTTCCTTGTTAAAATTGATAACTGAATGATTGCAACAAATCACCTGTCAAATACAATACATACCTCATTTGTAGATTCTCGTACTTTTTTGCATCTGATGTGTGCAAGTCTGTTCAATTTTTTCAAGAGGACAAACTGCAAGACGGCATTACTCTTATGTTCCTCAATTTCTGCAGCCTGATTAACAAGAGAGAAAAATCCAAATTATGGGTGTTATAATATACCCAAGCTACCAGTGGTTGGTTGGTTTCTTTTTTTTTTTTTTTAAATATCAATTAAAAAACAAAAAAACAAAAAAACAAAAGATAATCTATTTAAAAATAAGATTTACTTTAAGTGATTTCTTATTTCTGAAAAATTTTCAGTTCAATATTTTACAAGTCTCTTGAACTGTGCATGATCTACTATAATGCATATTTGACCTCAGATACCAATAAACTTAGTCTTGACTAATACTGTCTATTGAATATCATCAAAGCAACTGAATATTCTTTGGTTGTTATACTATATTTTACCCATTTTACTCAGGCGTTCTTCAATAGCAGAATTTCAAACTGAACCTTATAAATTATAAGCAAACATAGACAAATATGCTGCAATAAGACATAGTATGAAAAGGATGGCTTTTCACTTGACATTGCTTTTGTTTAATATATTTGTTGTAAATTCTCAGAAGCAAAGAAAAATTTATAAATTCACTTTATATTAAAATTTCATTCCATTTCTAATCATCAAAAAACTATCATTCATCATTTTAAAACTATAAACAATTGCTGAAGAGTGAAGGTAAAAAAAAAAAGCAGTGTCGAGGGAAAAACTGTCCTTATTGCAGGCACATGTGTTCATGTTTGTCAAATTATTTAATTTATACAAGGAGATTGCTTACATTCTACTTTGCCAAACTAAAGGATGATAACTTATATCAGTTAATACCCTCTACTGTGCATCCCGACATGACATGCAAATTGCCTTTCTTAAATTACCCTCTGCTTAAGTGCATGTATTGTCACAAATCTTTAATAAAACGCTGGCAAAACTGACATGAGTAACAGTACTCAATACATTCTGTGCAGGAATAAACAAATGGGACACATTTTGGTGATACCAATACTTTTTAGTCATTACAAATTATATGCAATGTGGGCCTTAAAAGCAACAGCAAAAATTGCTAAAGCCTTTAAAAGAGACTACTGATAGACAAAATTATATATACACACACACACAGGTGGTTCAGAGAAGGATGTGATATATTCTGCCTTACTCACATTGCAATAGAAACCTACTTGGTTCACTACTTGCTGAAGTGACTGCAGCAAGGATTCTACATCTTTGATACATTGAGAAATTAATGCAAAATCATTGGCAAATTCAAGATTCGGTTATGTATTGTGGAGGATACCGACGACTCTGGTGAGGTTTCAAAAAGAGACCTTTTTCTTCTATGTTCTAGAAAGTTAGAGTTGAAGCGAAATCTATGAAGCACAGACAATTTATGCCTTCTCTTGCAAAATGTAAATACTTACAGCTTCTTTAGTTTTAACAGCTTTCAGTTCTTTAATATTCTGGATTAACTTGAGAATTTCATTGCAAGATTCCTTGTAGAGCTGTAAATCTTTCTGAGCATCCCGATGATCAATTTCTTCCTCTTCAGCATAAAATAGAGAAGTTTTTTCCTGAAAAAAAAAAATGCCAAAATTTAGATATTGCCTTTGAAATTCACTTAAAAAAATTCCACAAAATTTTGTTCCAATCTAATCTACTGAAAATGCCACAATGCAATGTCAGGTATTAATTTGTTTGATACAAGGTTGAGATAGCTTTGTTTCAATACCAATTAAGAAAAAAAAAATATTTTCAAAGCCAAAAATTTTTCTGAAATATCTTCAAACAAATGGTTTCATTAGAAAAAGAGGATTTAGAGAAAACTTTTTATTCTCAAATTTACCTTTATTAGAGAAATAAAAGCAGGTATATTTAAAAGAAACAATTCATAACAAAAAATATATATTACTATAAAATAGTAATACCAAAATATAACAACAATTAAAAAGGTTCATCAGTCCTCTCCTATCAGCACAAAATCTCAAGTACAAAAATATGAAAAGTGAGTAGAAAAAAAAAAATCTAAGGCAAATGTTATATATAAGAAAATATTAAAGGCTAATTTATCTTTAAGCCCATCAACCACCCCTTTAATAAGATTTTGTATCCTTGCAAAATTTTTCTTTGACAATAGAAGATTTTTACAAAGTCAAACATGCAGAGATGATAAGTATGCGTCCTGCAATGTTGACATATAAAAATCAATTGTAACTAATATATTCTTTCTGTAACTGAACACGAATCATTTGTCAAATGAACTAGAGATATTGATGGTACATTGATATATTTTAAAAAATATTTTGTATTAGGTACTATCACTGCTTCAAATCAGATTAATTAAACTTTAGGAGGCACAGTGGAGTAATAGATAGCAGCTCGTATTGAGGAATCGGAGAGCCGATTTCAAATTTCAATTGAATCCATTATATTCACTTACATGCTAATACCCTTGGGAAAGGTATGAATCCTCCTCTTCTCCCCCAAGCTATCGATAAATAGCAGGACAGACTGGGTTCTATAACCTTGGATAGTAACTGGTCTACCGCAGAAAGAAATGGCAACCTACTGTAGGAAAAAAATCTGCCTCATCAGTCATGTATCGAAAGATACATGATTGCCTAAGCATGTATCGCACATGACACATAACTCACTGAATTAAACTTTAAATCAGCTAAGATTCTCCAAATAAAATTTCAGAAAAGTATATTTTATTTTTGAATGATTTTTTAAACAAGAGAAAGAATTACATTGTGATGAAAGATTGCAACTTCTAAATGAAAACTCCTTCCAGTCAATTTAAATTAGTTTTGAAATACAGCAAAGTATTTTGCTTATTGGAAATATTAAATTTAATCTATTAAATTGGAATTAAAATAAAAGCTTCAAAAAAGACATTTCATTTTAAATCTTAGGTATTGCATTTCCATTGGTGGTACCTAATTTTGAATTTTTGTTAACATACTTTACTTTTGTACAAAACGTTTTACCTTAACAAGCAGTAAAACATTTGTATTCCTTCCTTGTAGATATAATTCACCCATTAATCGGAAAGTCACCTTCTGAAACTATGTCCACTTTGTGGAAATAATGAAAGATACCCCCATCCTATCTAACCAGATGGTGAGCTTGGACGTGGTGAGTTTGTTTACCAGGTACCCACGGAGAAGGCACTCTCAGTAGTCAGAGACAGATTGGCCTATGACTCATCCCTAGGATAACAGACCAGTATTTCAATAGATAATCTGATGGAGATGTTGACTTTCTGTACACAAACAACACACTTCAGAATGGGATCACATATAGTGACAGGATGAGGGCTTAGCAATGGGCTCGCCATTATCACTAACAATGCCAAATATATACATGGAATACTTTGAGGAAATAGCATTAGAATCTATATCTCTAAAGCCAACTATATGGTTAAGATATGTAGATGACACTTTCATACTCTGGCCACACCAGGAAGATGTCCAGGTTCTACTGGACCATGTGAACTCAATAAAACCTTTGATACAGTTCATGATGGAGAAAAAGAGTAACAACACACTCACATTCCTGGATGTTCTAAGATCTCAAACAGAACATAGGTTCTAGACATCCGTATACCGCAAACTGACACTCACTGGACAGTACCTCAATTTCAACTCCCGCCATCCATATAGCGTAAAGAAAGGGGTTGTCCACTGCTTACAACACTGAGCAAAAGCCATAAGTCGCAACCCAGAGACACTAGATAAAGAAGTGGTCAGTATAATCAGTACCCTACAATATAACAACTACCCTGGGTACATGGCAGCATTCCCAATAAACTGGGATAGGCGGATACAAGAGGAGGACAACACTCAGAAAACAGTTTGCCTGCCTTTTGTGAAGGGGTTATTGGAGAAAGTATAAAGGATCTGCAGTCCATATAACATCAGGACAACCTTCAAAAGCTGGACAACACTTCACAGATACCTCTCCCAAGTAAGACACTCCCACCATAGAGGAGAAGATGACTAAAAAAGACTGTGTGTATGCCATCCCGTGCAGCTGCGGAAAGAAATATAAAAGGGAGACAGGTCGCCCCCTTAAGGTAAGGCTTCAAGAACAGTAAAAAGCTGTAACACGAGGGGAAGTGGAAAAATGAGGCATGGCTGACCACATATGGAGAGAAAAGGGAGATCCCCACCCTCTGTGGGATCAGGTTGAAATCATACACAAAGAACATCATTGGAAAAGGACAAACTTAAGGAATCAGCACAAATGCTAGGCCACAAAAATCTCCCAAGCCACCAAGCATAGAAATGAATACAATATGAGAACCAGTAATAAGGAGTGCCAGAAAAAAAGCAATAACAACAACAAAAACTGCAATATGAGCTCTGGTAAATACAAGAAAGAAAACAGCAAAAATTGCAATATGAGCACTGGTAGAAGATGTACTCCCAATCACCTGAAGAAGGCTGGAGCATACAACGACCGGAACGTTGTGATAAATATGGTAACAAAGATTCGGACAATAGTCCGAATAGTGTACATAATATCTCAGATACATACTGAGTGATATTTTTGTTTAACATTCAAATAGCATTTAACAGGGCTCAAAAAATGATCTCAAACGAAAGAAATTTTCTTGTCTTCAATATTTTTGTAATTTTAAAATAATAAACACTGTATTAATAATCATTTGATGTTCTTCTTTCAAATACTTTTTTTACTAGTTTTTTGCTTTCCTTCTTTTACTGGGCGGGATTTGATGTGTGGGTGGTATGAAATAGACATCTGTCACCTTACCAGACACTTTCTTGGTATGTTTTTCTTGGTTTGTTTATTTATTTTTGTATTTAATTTTAAAAAAGAACTTTTGTTCTGTCAATATAAAAACTTTGTTGTCATAATTCTCAAAATATAAAGTTTCTTAATTCAACTGTGATTAAGTGTGCATACGGTTTTTGTTTAGAATTTATTATTTAAAAAAAAAATGTTCTGTCAGTCTAAAAAAGATTTTCTAATTAAATAATCTTAGTTTTTTTTATTTTATTGCATGTATTTTACGATTTTTGGTAAATTGGGGAGTCCTGTTTTTAAAAATAATAGTTGATTTAATTTTAAAACAAATTCTTCAACCACTTCTGCTTCATTTAAAAAAGCAGTATAAAAATGAATTTCTTGAAATTATTATTCAGTAGTGTTTTTTTTTTTTGCTTGTTACAGATGTGTGTGTAGTGTAACGAAGATTTTCTAATGGGCATTTCTAAAATAATTCCATTCATTTGTGAATAAAAAAGCTTCACTAAAATAGCAAAATTTTGATTTTTGTAAGAATTTTCAAATCACTGTGTTTTTCACTTTAAAAAGAAAGACTTTCACTTTATAAATTCCTATGGTCACCCGCTGACGCAACAAATAGAAAATTTAACCAAAATTTTGATGGTTCTATGGATTAAAAAATAATTTAATAATAAAGAAAATCCCTTGGTCATTCCTTTTAATAAAAACAAATATTTTGACTTTAACAATGAAACATTTTTTTTTCTCTTTTTGGCCCTTAAGCATATTTTTATCATGTGTAATGCTCTTTTGTTTTGTTTTTGGCGAATCTTTGGTTTAAGATACCTCTCTAAAAATATCGTATCAGTGATATATGAATTTCTTATCACTTAAATTAGGATAATTCGTAATCTTATAAGAAATATGAAGAAACTGAAAGAGTTATGAAAAGAGGGGAAAAAAAAAAAAACAAACTAGGACACTTCGACATAGTTTTAAAAAAAAAATAATGACAATATGATGACTAGTAATCTTGTATATCGCTTGATCAGTTTAAGACTTTAAGTTCGATCTTCACTGGGCGCTTCATAATTACGGCCTTGTGCCACATCTATACTTAGTAAATCAGAGAAAAATAAATTGTTGGGGATTCAAATCTGACTCTGAGTGATAATGAAAATTGAAATGTTGACAAAATTACGAAACACGTGGTTATCTGAAAATTTTGCTCCAGGGAAAATTGTACACAAAAAGTGTTGTCAATTAAATTCGTTTAACAAAAACTTAATAAATTGGATATTCCAACTAAATTGAGTGAAATGATAGAAAAATATTTCATTTTTAATATCACTTGATTAGGATTTCAAGAAAAATAAATTCGTCTGTTTTTTTTTATTTCGTTTTCTGAAAATAAGTGTCAAAGAAAATGAGTATTTGCTAAAAAAGGAAGATGAAAATGATCACGAAACTTATTTTTTCATTGGTTTATGGTAGAAAAATCTAATCTTTTTTTAAATTTATAAACTTTTTCTCGTTTGTGGGACACACTTTTTTTAAAGGCATTCATTTTACAAATTTGGTTGAAATCTAAGCACGTTTTTTTTTTCGTAGTGATTCTTATTGTTTGAAAAAGAGTAAAAACACAAAAAAAACAAATTTCCCAGAGTAAATAAAAAATTCTTTCAGAAAATCCGTTTTCGATCAATAATTAATTAAAAAGTAAAGATTAATCAAAGAAAAACATTTACTAAACTTCGCTCGTATTTACAAGATATTCCGATCTTATTAAAATTTGTAATATTTTTCTTCTACGACATAGAAGAGCTTTTATTAAAGTTTAAAAAAAAACGTTTATAAAGGAAAACTTTAAAAAATCGAATAAATATAAAAATAACTTAAAAAAAATAAAAATTTTGAGTTGAATTTCTTCATTGAATCTTTAAAGAAAAAGAAAACAACAAATTACCCACCATTCTCTCTTGTATAACTTTTTTCGTTTCAATAGATTTTTTCATAATGCATAAAAAAAAACAGTTTTTGTTTTTCTTTCAACAAAAGCAAATTCAACAAGGAAAATGAAGAAAAAATTTCTTCTCCATTGTTGAGATGGATTCGGCCGGTAATTACAGGAAGTGACGTCAGAAGAGAAAAGATTATCTAAAGGCTATCTACAGAAATGCTTTTTGACCATTATTTCACATGGATCCTTCATAGGATAACAACGTTGCTGAGAATACAGGCTGTTCCAAAAGTCGCATTATCATGGTAAAAAGTAAAAACCTTGTAAATTTTATATTTATTTACCAAATGGAATCATATTTCTGTATGTGACAATATATTATTAAGAAATTTTATTGGTCTAATTATGGAAGAAGATGATTGCTATTTTATAATTGTAAGTTTTCTGCCAATATTGTCGCATTATTTTTAGAAAACTCAGCCATTAAGAAAATTACTGAAATTATTAAAAAATGTTTAAAAAAATTTGTAAATTTACACCCAAAAATATCAACTTTATAATTAAAAATATAATACTGTATTCTATATATATTTTTATGCTATTTGTTTATTTAAAATTTATCACCATTTTCTGTGCTATGTATGGGTCTACCTGAATATTTGAAATGGCCTTTACGTACCTGCACTTTTTCGCTGAAAAAAAAAGAAGCCGCATAGCATGATGAAAAAGGCCCAAAACTTAATAAAATCAAAATTTTATCGTCAAAATGTTTATGTTATCATTAAGAGGAAAGACCAAAGTATTTTTATTATTTATTTATTCTTTTCTAGCAAGTTTTGGTTAAAAATCTTTTTCTTTTCCGTGTTTAGCGGTCGTAAAATTTACCATTAGTATTTTAGCGCCTTTTTTCCGGTGAAAAAAAACAAATTGATTTGGAAATTCTAGCAAAACCAAAATAAATGTCGGATTTTTATGAAACTTTCAGGACTTATTCACAAATGAATTAAATTATTTTGGATTTTTTTATTTTAGAAAATTTGTGTAAAATACATTTTTTTTTTTTTTTTTTTTTTTTTTACAAATGTTACTCTCCTCTTTACTTAATTTAATGAAATTTCGAGAAATTAAATTTTCATCACAAAATCTTTTTTTTATTAGTTAAAAAAAAACAAGAGAATGTAAACCATTATTTTTTTTTCAAACTACTGTTCATTTCATGAAAAATAGTAAAATAAAAAAAGAGACAAAACTGACATTATTTAATTAGAAACGCTTTTAATTATTTTTATAAATAATCTAAGGACACTTATAAGAGAAAAACATGATGGGTTCATTTATCTGATAATAATGGGTAAGACCCAAAATTAGGCACCAAATGGAATTTAGGCCCCAAAGTGGAGGGGCCGGGACGACTATGAACGGAAGAGACATGTTTTAGCCTCGAAAGAGAAAATATCTCCGAGTCTGCTCTCTTTTTTATTTATGCAAAAAATAATAATGTAATTTTTGCCTTCACAATTAAGTGAAATTATTATGGTCACGTGACATCCAATCCAGACAAGTGAAGTCCAAAATACATTTTAAAAATATAATTTTAATTCATTGAATATTTCAAGATGAAAAATTATAAGGAGTTAAAGCCCTTATTGACTCAAAGAGCAATTTAAAACATGATATTAATTTAAGTTTGGAAGTGCGGGAGCAAGATAAGAACTTAAGGGAAAAATCTTTTAAATAAGAAGAAGCTATCATCAAAACACTTCAGGGAGAAATTCAAGTTTTGGATGGTAAAATCAAGGAGATTTGTATCAAAGTCAACTTAGACTTAGAGAAAGTTGGTTTTGTAACTCAACAAAGGAAGAAATTTGGTTTTCGTTTCAGTGTCAATAATCGGCTTGCAGATATTGGGTAATCTGTTCGAGAAATGAGTATTTCTCACAGTAGCGAAGCCAGTTCTTTATCCAACATCCATTCAATGATCTCAACTCTCAGTATTTTAGCAGTATTAATCCTTCTAAGGTTGAATTTAAGAATTTTATAGCACAGTTTAACAACTGTACTAATTCCATCAATTCTAACAAAGCAAAGCCATTTTAAAGAGTTTTCTGGTTAGCTTAGCTCTCCAGCTAATATCACTTCTTAGAAGATGACACTTACCAAGTAGCTGTAAGTCTGGTCGATAGGGCGGCTTTTAAGCTAGTTATAAATAAATAATATTATTTAATCAATCAATCCATCATCATCATCACGAACTTGAAGCACTTCAAAAAAGAAAGGAAACCGAAAAGTGTATCATGGTAAAAATTATTTAATGAATAAACAGCATTAAGTGTTTACTGTGTGCACCCACAATAAAAGAAGTCATCTCTGAACCCAAAAGTTTAACCGGTCAGTCGGTTAGTGGTCGGTATTAATTGTCCCAGGGCGCAGATCTGGGTTTTATAAAAAGGAAATGATAATTGTGATTGTACCAAGCGATACGCTTGTTAGTGAAATGGACTAAAGTTCTGTATCTTCTTTTCGGTAGATGAATAAAACTAATTTCATCTTGACTCTTTGTACAGAGAAATACATGTCTTCATTCCACTTCACATGTATTCAATATTGGCAAATTCTTCCTTCAAGTTCTAACCGCAATCATTATTCACCACCGCCGAGAGAAACTAGAGTGTATTTATCAAATGCATGTCCGGATCACAGCGATAACTACCAGGTGGTACTAAAATATCGCAAAATCAAAAACTGACATTCATGACCTACAACTTATGATAGGAGTTGAGAAAATGTGCTGTTATATTTGATGGCGTGAGTAAATTAAAATGGAGTTGGTGAATGGAGTTCAAGTCCCAACTTAGCTCGCATCACTTTCATATTAATAATCTTGGAAAAAACGTGTATCTATCTCCTCTCCCATTAGCTATGGGTTAAATAGCAAGATAAACTATGCTTTTCCTGCTATGAGAAGGAAAACTGAATTCAAAATCGTAGTGAAGGAAACCACTTTACTATATTTTCCAAAAAGTCCTATCAATTCACAGATAAGAAAGAAAAGAAATATGCGGAGAGCCATGATTGTCTACGCCCATATCGCCATAAATGCTTCCAATAAATTCATTAAACTCTTTTCTTAAAATTCCCTACTGAAATGAGCTGACCTTACTTGTATTGTAAATTTACGAATAATAAATATGTATATGAGACCTTACTTGTATTGTAAATTTATGAATAATTAATTTGTCTGTTAAAGTCGCATTTTTAGAAGAGACATTTTTTTGAGAAAGTCAATTATTGCTGTCAATTTCAAGGCTGAAAACTTTCGATAAAGAATATTAGAGTAACTTCCCTTAGATTATCAGCGTCTTCGAAGACATTGAAGGTATGGCGAGTAACAACAGGTCGGTGTTACTGTTAAAAACGAACATTCTTTCTTTAGCAATGTTTAACCTTCGTGCTCGCTCCCCACAAAAAAAAAAAAAAAAGTGTGTAAAAAAAAAACGGTTATTCCCTTGCGCTATTACTGGATACACTTTTGACTCCCTCGGCAATGTTTATTTAAAAGATTATAAAAATATATGAACCGAGAGAAAAGCGATGTAAATTTACCGTTTTATAAAGAACTAAATTTGAAAAGAAATCGTTGCTTTCAAAACTTTATAAAAAAAAACTACAAGATTATCAATATATGTAGACCAACAACAATACAATATTTATTATTTTATAAATAACACGAAAATTTGAATAAATATATGACAAACGTAAATTAAAAGAATGTTTTGTTTAGAGGATTCACTTAATCTATTTTAGCGAATTTATGTGGCGAGAGTAAATGAAAGAAATGGCCGGAAACTTTTTTCATTTTTCTTTTCAAAATTTACAATTATAGTTACTCGCCGTTATGTCTTTATTTAAATTTTCTTGTTCACAGACATTTTTATAAATTTATGAATAAAAAAATTAATTTCATATTTATTTCTTTATAAAATGGTAAATAATAAATATTCTATTATAGTTGGTTCACATATTTTTATAACGTTGTAAATATAAAATTATTCTTATAAATAAGCAGTCTAATAAATAAATAGCGTTTAACATATTTGTCGTCATTCTCAATAAAGAAAATGTATAAATCCACATTTATATGTTTGGGTTTTAAGATCCTAATCATCGCTTTTTAAAAAAGTAAACATTTCCGAGGGAGTCAAAAGTGTACAGTAACTAACAGAATAATGAAAACAAACATTTGTATGTCAATAGAATAACTGTCCTTTTGCGACATCGTTCTTTTTTGGCCCTCATGAAGTATAAATAGTGCTCATTTTTTGTATTATTTAATATAATATACTTTTTGCATTATAATATATATAACATATTATAATAATAACAATTATTTTTGTTCATTTGACATTTTTTACTCATTCATTTTCCCCAATTAAACTGCAGTGTAGAAAATGCTCCTTAAAGAGAATGAAGGCGACAATACAAATTCAATATTTGTTGCTTATCATCAATATTATTTTATATGAATTTTTGAAAAAACATGAAATTTAAAACCTGTGTAATATAAAGATACAATCCCGTTCTTTTTAATTTTCGGTATTGACTTTAGTTAACAATATTTGCCAGTTCATAGGAGGCACGGTGGCAGCTCGGATTGAGGAATCGGAGAACCGAGTTCGAATTCCAGACGAGTCCATTACATTCACTTACGTGTTAATACCCTTTGGAAGGGTATGAATCTGTCTCTTTTCTCCTCAGCTAAAAAGCAGGACAGACTTGGGTGTCAACCGGTCTAGGAGAAGGAAAACACTGAATAGGAAAAAAAAAACTGTATGTAGCCATAGAAAAAATTAAAAGAAATATATTGTTATTTGATCTACAAACACAGAAAATTTTGCTGGAGTTGGAACCAATGTACCAGCTATCCACATCCATTAGACTGAATTAACACATTTTCATTCGGTTTCAAGAAGTCTTCGCAACAGTTCAAAGGAGGGCAGTTTTCTTGACATCGGC